AGCTAAAATTAACATAGAAAATTAGAATAAATAAATTAAATCCCAATAATGCATTAAGTTGAATTTTGTATTTCTTAGAACCGAACATTTAGAACCGAACATTTACTTTATTTGCTAATTCCTATTGAAAGTATGAGAATCCTAGACAAATTAGATACGTCACTCTATGCCTATCACTTAAATTACAAGAGTTTCTAAACTGGTATTATGAAGTTCATAATTATCTATTTTTAGAATTGTGGGTTCCCTTTTCCCTTGGCATCACTCAAATTATAAAATTGCTAGTTACTCAAAATTTATTTTGAAACCGTATTTCGTGTCTTACAGAAAAATTCATCACAAATTTTAGTGTAATTCATGCGTTATATAAACTTAATATAACTTCAATAATAATAATCCTAACAATAAGCTTTATATTTAATATGCACCGTTTTTTTATTGATTTCTTTTGCGTTAATCAAGATTTAGAAAATCTGATCTATTTTGCTAAATCAGGAAGGATCCCTGCGGGTGATCCGTCTATACAAACGTTATCCTTACCAACTTAGAACTTTTATACAAACCCCAAAAGGGAATCTTTAAAAGCGGGGCGATTACATAATAAACAACCAATCACTAAACCGGGTCAAACCTGAAGAAGTAAAAAAAAAAAGAGAAATATGTGAAAAATAGAAAAAACTGTAGTCCAAACCCACCATCTCAACATTAGCAAAAAATGTTAGGGAGGTAATTTTATCTGTGTAAACGCCCTAACCTTAATAAATCTTTTTAGCTAACAAGACTCTTAACTGACTTTTTTTATTACTATTGCGTATAAGCAAAAAAATATAATACAAATATATTACACTCACGTGATTATAACTGAATATTTTCGCAACCGTTTTTTACAATTTAAGAAATTATAAACTTGTTAAAATATGTTTTATAATATTGATTTAAGACCAGATAAGACCTATTATAATGAAGGCTCATGGTGTATTAACTCGTAGTAATACCTAACTGACCAAATTATTTTTTTATTAGTTAATTGTTTTATTTGAACTGTTTTTGACAATTTTTATGGACAAATTAAAATCTAGAAAATACCACACTTCGATTCAATCTTGGTCATTATTCCGAAAAAGCTATACCAAAATATATATTTTATAATTATTTTTCTAAAAAAAAATTTCTATTGTTTCATAATTAGTATAAATTAAAAATTATACTCTTGTGATGTTTCATGCCTAGTAATTAATAAAATATAAGTGAACTCCGGTAAGATGGTTATCCATCTAATCTTTTTCATTAAGATTTGATCAATCTAATCAAAGAATTGAGTACTGTCAAATTAAAACCTGTAAAGATTTTAAAAAATTTATATACGTAATTTATCACACCGGGTTCTATATAACGACTTGTAATAAATTCATATATAAATAAGGTGTTTCAGAGTTAACTTATTTCGAAAATTACTGGGACTTTATAAAATCCTATTTCTATTTGAAATTCTCAAAATTTTTCCTAATAAAACAATACCATCATATAAAAAGTAGAATTATAGATCATTTATTTCGAAGCAAATACGTCGCTAATTTTATTCAAAATCAGACATCTAATCATTAATTCGAAAAAATTATATATTTGTATTTAATCAAGTAAAAACATATAAACCGCCAAATTTATCAAATCGATTTTCAAAAAAAGAAAAAAAAAAAATAACGGAATCCGTGTTTTATATTTTGGCTAGCTTAACCATCAAAATGACCGATGAATTTGAATCTGTTTTATCCTCATGCCAAAGAGGTGGTCCTAATTGTCAGGATGAAGATAAATCTATGATCCGAAAGACTGAATATGTGCATACGGCATGTGATAAGTGCCGAAAAAATCATCACAAATGTTCAGGACCACCAAGATGCTTGAGATGCGAGACCCAAAATTTTCTTTGTAACTTTAATAAGATCCCAAAAAAACGTGGACCTAAGCCTAAATTACATCGCATAGTAGGGATTCAAAGAAACTCGGTAACTATGGATATCCTTATTCAAGTGTTCAACGACACAAAAAAAGATTTAATTACAGAATTGATAAGTCAGTTTAATATTATGGTGGGCGCTGGACTCTATTCATTAGAAAGCCCAACATCAATTCAAAATAATGAGGGGGCTGCGTTGCCCTTATATTTCTTGAACAAATTTTATAACATGCCCACCGGAAACTATGAGATCGATTCATTTTGTTTACGAAATATTCAATCATCAATCAAAGAGGTTGTTGATAATTTCGGAAATAAAATTATTACTAAGATGTCAGTTTCTTAATTAACCTATTTTTCGAGTAGATTTTGATCTCTGTATATTGGAATCAACTTAGTTTCAAATCTTAAACTGGTTTATATGGATAGAATTTTTAGATTAAAAATTGCTTATATAATATTTATATTATTAATTATTATCTCAAAAGCATCTTCAACTGGAGTTTGGTATGCATTTTTTGAATGAAACATTCAGATATGGATGTTTAGAAGCAATGCAGTCTCTTGAAATTTATTGATCCTTACGCTCGTGTCATTATTTTTTTATCATTTATTTATTTTTGATTTTTTTTTTTTATTCTCTTATTTTTTATAATCAATTATTCTCTTTTTCTTTATTTTTATTTCATTAATTATTTATTTATTTATCTTTATTATTATTATTATTATTATTATTATTATTATTATTATTAGCATTTATCTTTTTCTTTATTTTATTATAATTTTTATTTTTGTTTTATTTGATATTCTTTACAAAAAAAAAAAAAAAAAATTAATATATATAATGTTTGTGTGCAAATATATATTGCAATCCATTTTTGAGCA